CAGACAAAAACAAAGTGTTTCGTGGAGAATTATAATTGGAGATGAGAAATAGGTTTGTCTTGATAATCCAAAGCGAAAAAAGTCATGGGTTGATCCAGGACAACTATCAATATCGACACTAAAACGAGACATTCACGGTCACAAAGTTAATGCTCTGTATTTGTTTTTTTGCACGATAATGCTCGTCCACATGTTGCTTCAATTATTAAACAAACATTGTTAGGGCTCGAATGGGAACTTCTTCCGCACCCAGCGTATTCTTCAGACCTAGCACCATCTGATTATCATCCATTCCGATTGATGCAACACGTTTTAGTAGATTCACACACACTTCAATAATTACGAGGATGTGCAAAAATAGGTGTCTGATTAGATCGCTTCGAAAGACTAATCGTTCTATCGTCGCGGAATCGCTATGTTGCCAGAAAGATGAGGAAAAGTCACAGCTAACGATGGGAAAGATTTTGATTGATGTAAATTTAACCGTTTCTTTAAGATGAAGATAAATAATTGACGAAATAAGATAAGAATTATAATTCAACCTCCTAATAACACGAACGATAAAGCGATAAAAATGAAAAGTCCGAAAAATAAGAGGAAAAATCCAAGAAAATAGATAAACCTCAGGTAATGAGAAGGAAGAAAGAGATATGTCAGAGCAGAATGGAAAAGAACACGAATCTCAGAACGTGACATAATCGTGAGTGATTCCTTTTCCCCGTATTATATCATCTCCGACTCTATCCAATGCAACGTGTGGATGAATGACGGTCCCGCAAAAAAAGGTGAATTTCTCGGCGATATCGCGAGCGGCGCGCGACGGATAATAAAGCGTCTCGTGAGGAGGAACGTCACTCGCGCGCGACTCTCGTAGCCGCTAAGAGCGCGATTTTCAAGCGATCGCGAGCGATCCGGATGCCACTGTGCGGCCACAGCTGAATGGCCGGCAAACGAGATATTAAACGCCGGACAGTAAAATATCGCGACGCGGCGAACGCACCAATTAGCGTACATTGAGCTGGATTGTGAAGGGCGAGGTTGATCGCGTTTCCGAGCGGAAAGAGCTCGGGGCTGGGACAAAAAATTCTTCCACGGCGGCAGGACGCGCGGAGCCTCATCTTGCGTGCTAATAATCGTTAGCGTCCGCTGACGTGGACGAGCGGCGGGCGCAACCTTGGCTCGCTGGATTGAACGGATCGCAGAGGCGACGATAAATTGATCGCACGTTCGATCAAGCGGCGGCGATCTCTCGTCGTTGAATTCGTCGGAGCACACACGCGACACATAAACGAGACAAAAGGAGAGACAGAGACAGACAGACAGACAGAGAGAGAGAGAGAGAGAGAGAGAGAGAGAGAGAGAGAGAGAGAGAGAGAGAGAGAGAGAGAGAGAGAGAGAGAGAGAGAGAGAGAGAGAGAGAACACGATCGATTCGCGCAACGCCGGGACGCCAAGTCGCAGATTATCGCTAGATCTGCACTGCAAACACGCCTGTTTTGGTTTAAACTAGGATCCGGACTCGGCGCGGGCGGCTGTGAGCTCGCGCTTCATCTATTCCCTTAAAATAGCCGAACTTGAAGCGTCACATTTTTCCGGCATCTGAACGGACATTGCAACTCTTTCGTTCCAACTCTGTCGTTCGCGAAAGAGTTTGACGAATATCTCGCGTCACGGCGAGAATTAAGGATGGAGCGCGGGCATGGGGGCGAGCGAATGGAAAATCGGGAGCTATTTAACATTTAAATTGAACTCGCAACTTCATTTAACTTCGTTACGTTCCCTTTTCCTTGTCGGCCCCCTTCCCTCCCGCCCTTCTCGTGATCTTCGTTAATTTCATTTCGCGTTTTTTCTTAACCGATATCCTCTCCACCCTCCCCCTCTCCCCGTCCTTCCGCTGGCTTGCCTTCCTCGCTCGCCCCTTTTTCATCTCTTCACTCTCTCTCGTGCGCCGTCTCGCGCCGTCGCTTCGTCGCTCGATCTCGTTTTTGCCAGGCTTCGATTAATTTCAATGTCGCGACGCGCGATTATGTCCTCGTAACGAACTATCGACCCATTAGCCAGCCGATTTATCTCCATTCCACTTGCAAAATTCCCACCTATGAATCGGCGTTGCGCCGGAGCACGAAGCGGTATGCAAATCTCACGTCCCGCAATAATCGCGACTCGCGACATTTTTTCAGCGGCAGACTATTAGTGAGCAATAAATATCCCTCCTCCTCTCGGGAACGCGCGTAGTTCGGAAACAGGGCGAGCTTAAGGCGTCGTTAAAGTGTCGTTAGGATATCGCCGTCGATTAATTTTAGCACGCGAGTCGAACGTGCGAACGGATCTAGGCTAGTGTCTCCCAACAATTGTTTTCTTCTTCTTACGCAACCAATCCTCTCTTTCCCTTCGACTTCGATTCTTCGACCGCTCGCGATTACGTGCGCATCTTTTCACTTGAAAAATTGTGTGAAATTGGAAACAAAATATCGCGCGACTTCGAAGTATTCGGACGATCTACCGTTTTCGACAATTTATTCAAAGGTCGCGCGTAATGAGAGACAAGACAGATTAAGTTCACTAAGTCACTTTCTGTATCAACTACTGTTGTTCTAACAAAAAAGCAACAGTATCGGAATATGTGTAGAAAGTTGTTCACCCCAAGAAATAGTAATTTCAGAACAAGCGAAATCATCTAAATTTTAGAGAATTTTATTCTTATATATGGCCTCAAGAAGATTCCTCTAAAATTAAGAGGAAGATATTATAAACGCATTATTCTTAAAGTTAGAGGAATTATATGTTACATGTATAATGCAAATCTTATTGATTTTGATGTAAATTTCCTCTTACACACAGATTATATAATCTCTTTTTAAGAGGATTATTATTTATACTTACTGTACTTTACTCCTCCTCTTTTATTACAATTATACGTTCCTTCTCATCAGAGATTTCTTTATAGGGAAAAGGAAGAAAAATAATTATTATAAAACTGTCCGGAAAAGATTCTAGTTAATTTTGTTGACTTTCTCCTGAAAAAGTAGGAAAAAACATAAATTTGTAATTTCAAGTACTGTAAATGGCATTTAATGTAGTTGTATGCAACGCAATACAATAAATGGATATATGTATGTACTTACACTAAAATATGGGCCAGTATGTTTTTAAGTTGATTTTCTCTAAAAATTCTCAAACTTTGTTCATGACGAAATAACCGGAAAAAACAACACAAACTGAATAACGATCTCTTCTATTTTCCTTTGCTCTAGTCTAGACATTGCCCATAAAATAAATGTGGAGACGATCGTCATATGCACAAAGAGAATGCTTCTGTGTCAATAGATGGAAGAGAAAAAACGCCGATAAATGTTCCTCCTGATATAAGAGGAAAATTAATTGATATAAGAAGAAATCGTCTTGAAATAAAAGGAAAACAGTTGGAATAATGTCTAATAAATTTTAGATGAATGGTACATTTTAATCGCTTTATCGAAAGAGCAATCCTTTTTTGCTATAAAGGGCTTCGCTTAGAATATAAAACAATGGGAAAAATCACTTTACAAACAGAATATTTTTTTTGGGTGTTATCATCAACCAACTATAGCAAACCTTGCTACAAAAATAATTGTCCTGATTGTGATTATTTTATTATGCAATTGGATAGTCACGACTATCAAATACCCATTTACCAATGTGTCAGCTCTTGAGGAAACAACACTTGGCGGATGAACTTGGCGGATGAACCGTTAATTTCTCGACGAAGTACGAGTGACGAGCGATTCACGTCCGCGCGAGCGAAAAATTGCGGGACCTAACGCGATGCAATAAAAAATCCTGCGCATCGCGCGTAATCCGAAGTGGCGGGTCACGTGTCGAGACGCGCTTCCGAAGGACCACCCGCGAGAAAATCTCGCGTGCAAAAAGGTTGGGAGGTACTGATCTACACGCGTATTCTCTCCAAGGAAGAACGGAAGGGAGAGCGAACGCCTTGGTACACGAAGCGGCACAGGAGAAAGAGAGAGAGAGAGAGAGAGAGAGAGAGAGAGAGAGAGAGGCAGAAGGAGAGAGAGAGGGGGGAGGGGGAGAGAAAGGGGAAGAGAGAAAGAGAAAGAGAGGGGCACGAAGGCCTCGTAAAAGAGAGGACGGAGCTGCGGCTGCATCTCTCCGTAATTACTGATTACTGAAACGATTTGCACCCCCCCCCTCCTTCGCCGCTCCGGCGGAGCGATTAATTTCTGTAATGGAGTCGTAGCCGAGGGATCATTCCTCATAGTTACCGATTATCGTTAGGACCGATCTCAATATAGAATTCGTTCTGCTCGCGAGACAATTATGATGACATGTATACTCGCACATTCTGACAGAGATTGTGACGATAATAACGCCGAGCGGGACCGAGCGTCCCGACATACAAGTCTCGTCCACTTACTTCACCGCACTACCGACGCGCGATCGTCGCTTAAAGAGCTTGTAGAATCCGAAGAAAAAATATTTCGGAGTCACGAAAACATCCAAACGATTACGGCGGAATACGCTTGCAAGACAAACGAAACACAATGCCGTGATAAAATTATGACGGTTTTATTTATTTTGCAAACGAATTAATAAGACTTGCTACCGTGCAATGTCCAAAAAAATCGAACAACATTTAAAATGTACACTTTATGAAATAAAAGGATTTTTCTTCAATTGTAACTTTACTATTGAAGATTGTCATACAGACGTACAACTGTGATACTCCGGTGAGGAATGTATTCATAGACTTTCTACACATTTTTAAAAACTACAAACTATCGATTTCCCAGTACACGAAACATTCAGAAGCTAACAGACAAAAATTGTCGTGATGTCGAAAAAAAGAAACATACATGAAGATTTCTCTCTCGAAAGAGAGAGAACAACTTATTATTTGATACGTGAACTCAATTTCAGTATTTATCTCTCTCTAATTCTCAAACGCGAAAAATAAGTTTCTCTCTCTTTTCTCTTACCTAAGGATCTTTTATGTTTAAAATATCTTATGAGGCCGCACCTGACTGTAGTGCAATGTCAGGACGACCCGCGGCGAGATCGGAGCAAGCTCCACATGCTCACCTGTTACCAAAAATCACTTAATAATTCTGAACCCCCTATGGGGGTTGTATCAGATATTAAGCTGATAAGAACAGATACTACACTTTTGATCTTAGCACATAGTGCCGAGAAGCGATACCTCGTTTGCCATTGGTCGCCTTTATATTTGGTTGCTCTACGAAATTTAACTGCGAGAGAACTGGATACGACCGAATCGCAAGTTACGCCACGTAGCGGATAGTGAGCGTACTACACGCGGAGAGAGCGGTCGGTTCCCCCCGTTCCTCAGCCCCCGCGGAAACTGTTCCCTTTCCACCACGAGTTAAAGTTAGAGCACGTGGCCGCAGCTCGTCGGCAGGAATGCCGCGCGCGCGGCAACGTCTCGGGCTCGGGAATTGATCGCATGCGCTAAAAAATCTTACCTGCGGTTAGAACAGGTGTCGCATAATGAACGCAGCGCTGATTGCAATTTGCAGGAATATACATAATTCATGATTCCACGTAACCGCGGTAGTAACAGTGGTAATAAATAGTGGTGTACGAGCGAGCGTGCGCGTTCGGAAATCGTTCCACTTTCCTCCATTAAAATTGACATTCCCACCTTAGCTTTAGTACGTAATATTATTAGCGACAGAGAGTCGTTGCTCCGCTTCGATTTCAAAAGACGCATTTTACGAGATTCGCACCGCGTGCATTTCGAAACAGATTTCGAACTCCGGCACAGGTCGTTATCGACCTTTTTGTAACTTTAGCTTAACAATTGTAACCTCTGCTTACCTCGTGATGTCAACCGTAAAAAGCGCTCGATGGATCGAACGAAAACGCCGGCAGATAATGTGTATGAAAGAACTTACCTGAAACAGAAAAAACATCGAAACATTATCATAGGTTGGTCGAAGCGCATATATAATTCTCGGAATGATAAATTAACGCGTCAAATGCCGCGACGGTCACCGGTGAATGGCATTATGATACCGCCGCGTCTCATTAAATTACGTATACGGTATAATTAACTGTATTTGAAAAATTGCTTACACAGTCAGTCGAGGGAAAATGAAAGATATATTTGTGCATTTCCATAAATCTTTATCGTATATATAATAATACGATTACCATGCACTTTTCATTAATTATTATTTGGACAGTCAATGAAAACTAGCACAGTTCTCAAGGTGTTTATGAGAAAATAGTAGATTGAAAACTGAAAAAAAAAAAAATTTAATTCTTTGAATGTTGCATTTTCCTACAGTATGATGTACCCAGAATGTATATACAGATTTTTTTTGCAATTTTAATGAAAAATGACAAATGAAGAATTTCAGTATGTTGAAAATGACGAGATCCCCGTGTAGAGTACTTGTAAATAAATTTCTTGAAAATAAATTAATTATCTATATACAAACGTGTCTGAGATAGACCACGTGCATTCTAATTAGCGAAAGAATTTTTTCGTCTAATTTTATTCGGACATGTACACATCTCAATTATATTATCTCACTATTTGCACATATTTCTTCTCATATTTTCTCTTCTCATCTCTTATTTCTTTTCATATCTTCGTTATATTGAATGAATTTTTTAATTCAGCATAAATCCACCGCATTTTCATCATCGGACAGATGACAATATAACGTCTTTGATGAGTGTTTGATGCCACATGTTTAAGGACAGTTTGAAGAATGGATTCAACGAACGTTAGAAATAAATATTTATACATGACCAAAATTGGTAAATATCAACAATTTAATATTTATATGTATATATAATTCTGAAACTCAATTATAGTGCCTATTATACATAACCCTGGCTTTTTGATTTTTGTTACAGATATAACCTATACAAAGATAATCCAATGCATCAAAATAAATCAATAATGGAAAACATATCTCTTCACAAACATGTCTCCGTCACAATAATGTTAATTTTACTGTTAAAATAGATAATGCAACTTATAAGAAGTCGATAAATGGCAAGTTATTTTATTTCTTAGAAAATATAACCTATATGCTTGTTCTATGTCAAATTTCTCTCAGTATTAATTCAGATTATAAAATAAGATTTCTTTTTTAAATAAATGTAGACATTGTTATTTCTTTGTTACAGATACACATTACATTTCACAGTATGCATCTAAAGTTATAAAATATTTGGTTAACTAATGAAATATGAAAGAAAAATACAGAATCTAAAAAATTTTAAATGGATACAAAGTTTAATCTGATTATTAGTAGATATATGTTTATGAGAAGAACCAAAATTTATTTATTAACAACTATCAGAACAAATATTAGAAAAAAGCAATTGTGGCAAAATATTGCAAAGGCAATTAATAGTACTAACAATGTCGGTGTTACAGGTGATATATGTGATGTAAAATACAGAAACTTATCAGCAACATACAAAACTAATAAAAAAGAAAAGAAACCAAATTAACACTGGAGAAAGTAATATCTCATGGGAGTATTTCGAAGTATTTGACAGCGTATTAGGTTATAAAGAACATCAAGTGCCTCAGCACGCTTGGTAGTAGTTTAGAAGAAAATAATTTATAAACAACTTTTACCAATAGTGATATTGAACAACACAAATGTGTTGAAAAAAAACTGTAATGTTAAAATAAATAAATTTGATAAAGATAAACATATTCGAAAGAAGAAATTATTTTCTGTAGAAAATGGAAAAATTACAGAGAGATCAAATTATATACAAGATAAAAGACTGAATTTAAGAATATTGAAGAAAAAGAAAATAAAAAAGAAAAGAAATGCTTGGTGAAAAAATGCGTTTGAAAGAAAAAGAGATTGAAGCTATGTTGGAATTTGCTAACGCTCTGAAAAAAGAATAACTGAACATAATATTTTAAATGTTAACTTTATGTTTTGATTAGGTAAATATTTTAATTAGATAAATACCTGATATATTTTGTTGCAGTATTCTATTTCTTTTTTTTTTAATTATAAAGGTTTAATTTTAAAACAAGATTTAAAACTGATACATTTAAAGTGCTCATTTATTTTTAAAAATAGTTAGAAATAATTTGGAAAATAATACCTAGTCTTTCTATATTGCCTATACTGTGATTTATTATAAATAGAACATAGTTAAGTTTTAGATATGACAGGAAAATAACATCCTTAAAATAATAACAATGTAATAATATTTTGTGAAGAAATAGATAATATCAAACTATGTATAAAAAATGATTGTAAAAGTAATGTATATATATTTATATTAATTAAATTTATATGAACATTAATTTAAAGACTGCATTATTTTATTCCTCAATATTAATACATTCAACGATGCACTTTCATAGCAATCACAATCACCATTGTTAAAACAATCATCATCAACTTCTTTTTCTATAATTTCTGTATTAACACCATCTTTTATGTTAATATTATGTAATATACAACATGTTAAAATTATATATTCTAATTCTACAATACTAAAAAATTTTTATCTTCTGAATAAATATTTTAAATGACCAAAGTTTATTCAATAATAATTCTAGTATTATATAGTCTTTTATTAAACAGATTTTGTGCATGTATTAGATGTCCATTATCCTCAAAAGGAACCATTATAAAAACTTGCAAAGAGTAAGCCTAGCCTTCTAAAAGATATGCATTTGAAGGAAACATTCGTGGTTTTCAATTAATTTTTTATATATTGGAGAATTTTACCAGATCCTAGCATCCTAGCATGTGTTGATCCTGGCCATCCACAATATACATCAATAAATTCTTTTTTGGCGTTGCAGATATTTTATAATAATATAGAGTAGAAAGCCTTCCTGTTATAATAGGAATTGTCTTTTACAGGTCCAGGTATTTGGAATATGTGAACCATCTACACAACCAAAAACATTGCAGAAACTTGCATGCCCCCTTAATCGATTAAATTGCTCAATATTCTAATATGCAGCCCCCCTTGTCAGCCAAAATATACAATTTTATATTTTTTTATTTAGTAACTTACAATTTCGTATAAATACAGTATGAGCATTTCTTTTGCTTAGACCAAAGCGGTCTGCAGTTGATCGAATTGATTTTTAATTTGCAACAATCCATATTATAGTTAATAAGATTGCTTTTTTAACAAAAATTGGAATGCGTCCTATTCGCGATCCTTACTCACCTTGTAAATCTTAAATAAGATTCTACAAATTATATAAAACTAGAAAGTATAAACATTTCATTTATTATATACATATTAATTTTATATAATATGTACATATATTTTACGTTTATAATCAGAGTAAATACCTTAACACATACCTCGACTGAAATTCTAGATTAGTGCTCGGAATTACTTTCACTTACCGGGTGACGATTTTCAGGAGTTTTCTCCCACTTACGTACTTTTCTTTACCTTTCCCTTACTACTATATGTGCACGTGCGCTGGCCATAAATCTGACAGTCACACTCCCCGCCTCAGGGCTATTGACATCATAACATCCAAGAAGCGCTTACCATAGCTGTAAAATTAGCTCTAATTACAGCTATTGGTAAGCGTCTATGATGTCAACGGCCCTGAAGTGGGGAGCACGACTGTCAGATCTATGGCCAGCGGGCATGCGAATGCACTAAGGGGAAGTAAGTGAAGAAAAATTCCTGAAAAGTGAAAGTAATTCCGAGCACTGTTCTAGACAATCAAAAATATGTTTTAAAGTCTATATCTGAATATAATAACATTATTTCTTATACAAAATTATCAATTTTTGCATGTTTTACATATACATTGTCATCACTGTGTCATCACTAGTTGATGATAAGGATGAAATATTAAGAGAAGAATCGAAAGATTCATCTTTACACATCTTTTTTATTAAATTATCATTTAAGGTCTCTATGTTAAGATTTATATACAACAATTTATGTTTTTAGATTAAGAAATTACTTCAACCATATTCAATTAGGAATTTCATCAGTCTATCCTCACAATGAGTCAATAGATCTGATGAATATGTAATAACTTCAGCGCTGTAAATAAAAACGTATTCATATAATTCATCGATGAATAAAGGAACGCTTCGCTACATTTGCGCTTCATGCGATGAATCAATGGATGAATTAAAAAAGTTATCCATTATTCTAGAGGAATTTAGGTAAACTATTTTTATACATAGCCCGA